GGTAGGAGGAGGGGAAGGAGGAGGAGGAGGGAGGGAGGAGGGGCAGGCGAGGCCGAGAAGGGTGCGGAACCGTGGGGGGGGGGAGGAGGAGGAGGAGGAGGAGGAGGAGGATGAGGAGGAGGAGGAGGAGGAGGAGGAGGAGGAGGAGGGCTCAGGTGGACGTGGCCCGACCAAGACCAAGCTCAGCCCAGGGCGCCAGGTGGACGTGGCAGCGCTGCCTGCGCACCCAGAGGTGGAGCCGCGGGCCCTCGTGCTCCGCCACGGTGCGCTGCCCGCCGCGCCAGGGGTGCCCGTTGCCCCAACTGCGCAGCCAGCCGACGGCAGTATGCTGGCGCAGGGGAGCCCGGAGATGACCCGCCTGGCGGCTTCCCGGGCGCGAGTGTACTCCCGCTTGAGAGAGCTCCGGGCCGCTGGACTGGACGCGCAGCAGGCCCTCGCGCTGCTGCGAGCCAGGACGAGCTCTGACTACACCTTCCTCGCGCGCACCTGCGGCATCCCGACGACTGAAGCCCGCGCCCTGGACGCGGCGCTCCTGGCGGAGGTGCAGCACGTGCGCGGCCGGCCGCTGGAGGGCCTGAGCAGGAGGAAGCTCTGCCTCGCGGGAAAGGACGGCGGACTGGGGCTGCAGAGCGTCGAGCTCTCGGCGGCGGCGGCCCAGGCGGCGTCGTGGCACTTCTGCCTCCCGCACTGCCTGCGCAGACTTGGGCTGGACGGGGCAGGCGCGCTGGCCAGCGTGAGCCCCTGGGCGCGGAGGTGCCTCCCGGAGGCGACGCGGGTCCTCCAGGGTGCTCTTCAGGACGAGACCGCCCACGTGAGCGACGAGGGGCTCGCAGCCCCGCAGCACACTCTGGCTTCGGCCCCCCTTGCTGCGGCTGCGCGCACCGTCGCCAACGAGGCGAGCTACGACCCTTTGGCAGCGGCGGCCCTGCACAGCGCAGGCGGCCCCGGGGCGAGCGCCTGGCTGGGCCCGCCTTCCCGGCCCGAGCACCGCCTCTCCGACGCGCAATTCGGCGTCGCGCTGGGCGTGCGCCTCGGCGAGGACCTGCCCTGCTGCACGGGAGTGTGTCAGCACAGGCACCCCGACGGGAGCGTGTGCGGAGCTGCGCTTGACCCGAAGGGGCAGCATGCGCGGTCCTGCGCGGTGGGCGGGTGGCTCGTCCGCCGCCACGACGCCGGCTGCGCCGTGCTGGCGGCCTGGTGTGAGGAAATGGGCTGCACGGTGCACCAGGAGATGGTGTTGCCGCACGCCGCAGCCAGCCGGCCCGAGGCCCGAATGGCCCTGATAATCCACGCTCCCCGGGTAGCTGTCCCCATGCGGGTGGACCTCACCGTGGTCAGCGCGCTGTCCCAGAACGCGCTGGAGCGCGGGTCAGCCCGGCGCGCCGGCGCCGCGGCCGCGGCGGCCGAGAGCGACAAGCGCGCGCGCGCTACCCTGGGCTGAGGATGGCCCCCTTCGCCGTCGAGGACCACGGCAGGCTCGGGGAGG